CGGGGGGAGCGGGGGTGGGGCGGGGGGGGGGGGCTGAGGGAGCCTGCAAACCCATGCTGAGCTGGAAGGGGTCCCAGCCTCCCAGCTCCGCATGGAGTCTCATCCCTGCATAGCCCCCCAGGAGGTTGTCCTGGGCTCCCTATACTGGGATGGGGGCGTCCCAGGCCCCTATACTGGGATAGAGGGATCCTGCCCCCCTGTGCTGGGATGGAGGGGTCCCAGCCCCCCTGTACTGGGATGGAGGGGTCCTGGCCCCCCTGTACTGGGATGGAGGGGTCCCAGCCCCTCTGTACTGGGATAGAGGGATACTGCCTCCCTGTACTGGGATGGAGGGGTCCCAGACCCTCTGTACTGGGATGGAGGGGTCCTGGCCCCCCTGTACTGGGATGGAGGGGTCCCAGCCCCTCTGTACTGGGATAGAGGGATACTGCCTCCCTGTACTGGGATGGAGGGGTCCCAGACCCTCTGTACTGGGATGGAGGGGTCCTGGCCCCCCTGTACTGGGATGGAGGGGTCCCAGCCCCTCTGTACTGGGATAGAGGGATACTGCCTCCCTGTACTGGGATGGAGGGGTCCCAGACCCTCTGTACTGGGATGGAGGGGTCCTGGCCCCCCTGTACTGGGATGGAGGGGTCCCAGCCCCTCTGTACTGGGATAGAGGGATACTGCCTCCCTGTACTGGGATGGAGGGGTCCCAGACCCTCTGTACTGGGATGGAGGGGTCCTGGCCCCCCTGTACTGGGATGGAGGGGTCCCAGCCCCTCTGTACTGGGATGGAGATATTCTGGCCCCCCTGTTCTGGGATGGAGGGGTCCCAGCCCCCCTGTACTGGGATGGAGGGATCCTGGCCCCCCTGTACTGGGATGGAGGGGTCCCAGCCCCTCTGTACTGGGATGGAGATATTCTGGCCCCCCTGTTCTGGGATGGAGGGGTCCCAGCCCCCCTGTACTGGGATGGAGGGATCCTGGCCCCCCTGTACTGGGATGGAGGGGTCCCAGCCCCTCTGTACTGGGATGGAGATATTCTGGCCCCCCTGTTCTGGGATGGAGGGGTCCCAGCCCCCCTGTACTGGGATGGAGGGATCCTGGCCCCCCTGTACTGGGATGAGGGGTGCCAATCTCGTACCTGGCGGAGATTTTGCTGTAGTGCATGTAGGCCGCCACGATGACGCCTGTCTTGCCTTTGTTCCCCTACACCAAGGAGGGTGAGTCAGGGGGGTTGCAACCAGCAAGGCCCTGGGGCGCAGGCATGAGAGCCCAGCCTGGGAGACCCCAGTCCCTGCTGCCCCCCAAACTCCTCCAGGGGCTGCCCCCACCTCTGCCAGTCCCCTCGGCCCAGCCCCCGCAACAAACTCCCCAGCCCTGTCCCCACCTTGCAGTGCAGCACAGCGACGTGCTGGGGGTGCGCGTGCAGCCAGCTCTCCATGGCCTTGCAGATGGAGCAGATCCTGTCCAGGGGGGGCGCGTGCCCATCCGGCCAGCCAAACTCCTGCACCTGTGCAGCCGGTGGGGTGGGGAAACAGGGGGTATGAGCTGACCACATCGCTCCCCCACCCCATGCACCTCAGCCCCCCCGAGCTGGGCACCCCCTGCTCACCTTGGGGTTCAGGCGGGCGATGTCGTGGCGCTTCTCCGACAGGTTGAAGAGCTGCAGGGGACAGCGAGAGGCTCGGGGCTGCAGGTGGGGCAGGGCCCCCACACCCCCCCAGTGCATGGACCCAGCCCCCTGGTGCCAGCTGTGGGGAAACTGAGGCACAGCCATGCACCAGGCCAGACAAG